ATAATAGGTCATCTTTAAAATGATTTCATTCTCTTTTAAAACTGTCTTTAACAAGACTGAGTAAGTAATAAGCAGCTCCAGACAGGTGACAAATGATAATACGATGAAAGAGCATCAGTGTGACACCTGTCTCCATGCTGACAGAGTCTTGGCTACTGACCAGGAACTGGTGGCTGATGTCCTCATAGCGCTCCTCTATGTCCATGGGCTGGACCTGAGCGTGGGAGATGCAGGAACAGTCCTAGTGAAGGAGGGGGAGGAGGAGCACATGTGAGACATGCTCTAAAGGAAGAGGAGGAGGAGGAGGGGGGTGGAAAGTGTAGGGTGATGTGCTGCCAGGCAGCGCGGGGGATTGGATAGGGTCAGAGTGAAATGAGGCAGAGAAGCAAGCACAGGGGAAGTAGAGGCCATGGAGGCACTCTCACCGGGGCTTTTATCGTAAATGGTGAATGGAGAAAGAGAGTTAGAGTGATGGTAACAGGCAGCAAAGAGGCAGCTTATGTGTCCCAAAAGAGTGAGAGAAGAGCTGCATACATAATCAGATGCACCATTTAGATGTGAGGGATGTGCACAGGTAGCCAGTATTAATATCTAACCTTCTCAGATTTACATGTATAATAACAGGCTGACTGCTCGTGTTACTCACAAACTAACAAAAAACTGATTTGAAATCGGCTGATGCCAAATGCATTTCTGAATGTCTATACATTAGACTGATTGAACTCAGAATGTCCCAGCACCGGCTTGAGACAACTGATTCGTGACTATACAAGTAACAAGGTACCCATTCAGCTACACCAGAGGGCATCAACCAAGCAAAACCACATGCGGAACGATATTCTTACCAAGAAAGACATGGAGTCCTTTTGGCGATGGCAAAACCACAGACTCGGGCATTCATCCGCTCGCAGGCTGCAGGAGACCGATCGCGATGGAGAGAGAGCAGCAATGTAATGTGAGACACACCGAGAATCTCCCCCCACCACCCCACACCTCCACTAGACTAGAAAGCAGCCAGCAGCAGCATTACATCCAGCCTCGGCCATTCATCCATCCAGGCTGCAGCTTACCTGGCTGCATCAGCTGATGGAAATGGAAAGAGTGTCCCCGTTCAGGAGAGTCGCTGTTTTAGCTTTGGGGAAAACTGAGGGCTGGGGGTGATCCTGGAAAACAGAGTGCTCTGTTATTAACGTCTTTGTTTATAGTTCTTTCTTTCTTTTTTAAAGGTCGTCCTCATGTCATATTTCGCAATCAAACTCATCCCCACTTCAAGGTTACATTCACTGCAGCCATTTCAGTAAAAGCAGTGGATGATTATTATTCTATTGGCGTCCATTAATTAATATGCATGTTAAGCTAACTGTCACATTTTAGCTAGATAATTAGTTGTTGCACGGATTAAATATTAAATTATTAAATATCAGGACATTTATGGGAGCTTTTGTTTTGGTAGCGAAGAACATTCATACAATATATATATTTGGCTGGTTGAGCATTAAAGTAAAACCTGGCAGTTATATGAGGAAAGAAACGGAGCAGCTTACCTTCACCCCACAGCAGCTCCGCGCTTTCACATAAACAAAGCAAAAACACCAAGGACACCCCGCTATGCTGAAAGACTTAGCGTTTACAGCTCACACCGCTCCTTCATTTTGTATAACTTTATGGGGAAAGTAACGAGTTTTACTGTCAATGACAAACCGCAAAATAAGCCACAGCGAAAATGTTTTGAGAGGACTTTTAATTTGACACAGACTGCTGACGCTGAATAAAGACGTCATTAGGCTTTCTGTCGCCACTTGATGACCGCTTGTTGCCCTCCCTCCCCTCGCTTCCCCTCCATTGTTTGAGGCTTTGGTGAAGGGATTGACAGACACCGCATGTATTGCTGGAACTGCCCATGATTTGGAATAATACTGATATAGGGTAAGCCTCATTGTAACTAATAAAATGTGTTTTAAGCTGTATAATGTATAACGGTCAACGCGGGAGGGATGCTGATTGTTTAAGCTCGCGGTTGTTGGCTAACGCGATATGAGCAACAGTGAAGCTGTCAGCCAGCCACAGGATGGTTAAGCTAGCTAACGTATTTACAGTTTTTTTGGTTGTTAGTTTTTTTGTTAGCCGATATGCAAAACATTTTGTTAACTTTAGTTCGCATTTATTTATATAAATCTCTTATAACCTTCTTACTAGCCTTTATTACAAAAGCATAACTAAAGAACGGAGTGAGTAAATTTTAGCTAATGGTCAGCTCAACAAACAGACAGGTGTGCAATATCTTACGGTTCATTCGCTAGCTTAACATTTTTTTTTCC